AACCACACGTGGTCTCTCTGCTTAAAGGCATGAGCAAAATGATCAGATAAATAAAGTTTAAGTCAAAGTCAAGTTAAATCAAACTCAAGCACAATAAAACTGATAAACAGACACTAGAAAAAGGACCATGCCCACACCACATAACTGAGCCAAACTCATCTGGACACTTTGTAATGAACTATTATTCTTAATAAAATATATATGGTGATATTCCAGCACATTCTAGGTGTTGGAAATTCCCTTCTCCAAGTTTGAGAATTGTAAAAATAAACATAAAACAAAGTGCACAGCACAATGGGCTGCAGGAAGTGAGTTGTAGACTCATATAATACTATTTGCCTATCTATAGTGCCTTAAATTTCAAGAAAATTAATATAACATTCAAGATATTCATTTAAAATGACTGCTACCAACGATATGTCATGACTGGGTGTTAAACACTAATGGGGGGCTTGTCCAGTGGAGTCCAGATCCAGACAGATAGCATGCAGACTACTTCTAGCTCAGCTCAGCAACAGTGTGAACACGGTCAGTAAGTCCTCATCTCTCAAGGACAGTTAACACCCATGTCAAACAACTGTCTGATGCTTAATAAAAGATTAACAGTACAACATATGGTGTATAAACAGTATATTATTATACCAATACACACTTTTAACATTAAGGTTAGGAGCATTCTACACTCTATAAATGTCAAAACTCTAGTGTTAACATCAACTACTTTAAAAGCAACCACAAAATGTATGTGGTTAATATTTTTTTATATCAGAGTAACAAAAAGACTTTTCAAAAATCAAAAAGAAAAACTAGCAGCCAAAACATCCACTTACTTGTCTTGGAAGTATCTTTTTTGACAAGTGAGGACAGACAAGAGGTATATTGAAGACACTTAAAAAGGAAAAACTTTTAAAGTTCAAATTTGTCTTCGCTGAAAAACCCAAAAAGTGAAAGTGCAGTGAAGAAGAAACATGTGAAATGTTCCTTTAAAATGTTCTTATTGCTCACAGTCTGGTACGAAGAGGGAAAAAACACCGAGTGGCAATCATAAAAACAAAAAACTGAAGACAGGACCCCCGGTGTGTGTCTGTATGTGTGTGTGTGTGTGTGTGTGTGTGTGTGTGTGTGTGTGTGTGTGTGTGTGTGTGTGTGTGTGTGTGTGTGTGTGTGTGTGTGTGTGTGTNGTGTGTGTGTGTGTGTGTGTGTGTGTGTGTGTGTGTGTGTGTGTGAACCAGGTTGTCTCAGCTGAAATGCTGACAAACTGTGGAAGTCAGAGAACAAAGTGAAGAAAGCTAGGGAGGGGTGGCGGGATGGATGGAGTAAGGGAGTGGTGGTAGTAGTAGAAAGAGGAGGAGGGGGTAGAAAAGTGCTGCTGCTGTTGTTGGAGAAGAGTTCAGGTGGTTTTGTCCTCTACCTTGTACCCTGGGGTGGTTTTGTGGGAGGCTGAGTGGCGCAGGCTGCCGTCTTTGCCTGGGGTGGATGTCCTGTCTTTGGCCTTGGACTTGTGTCCTCCTCCCTCCTGGCTCTCCACGTCTGATGTGTTGCCTGAAGAACTGTCCTGTAGAGGACCAGAAGAGAGGGAGAAGGGGTTAAAGACTCATGTACACTACCATGATGATGATAATTCCAATGTGAAATTGTCAAAAACATCAGTCCTCAGTAGAGCACATTCTTGACCCCGGAACCAAATTTTAATGTGTTCTTCCCTGACCCATACCACATCCTTCCACCAAGTTTTTGCGTAATCCTGCTAGCTAACTAACTAACTAACTAACTAACACTTGCAAAAACATAAGCTCCTTGGCGGAGGTAACTTTAGTTGAGGTAAATGACAGTAGCTAATGTCTCACAGATGAGTTCTTCTTTTTCTCATCTTTGCCATCCTCTGCGTCGTCTGAGTCCGGCTCTGAGTCCAGTGCAGGGAGGTCTGGATCCAGTGGAGGTTCAAACAGAGCTGTGTTCAGTGGCAGATATCGCAGCTCATTCGGAGAATACCTGTAATGCAAAACATAATTATGAATCAGGGAAGAACATTCAGCAAAGCCATAGCAGCATTTTTCACGGGGGTTACCTTAAATACAAAAGTGGCCTATTGTCGGCAAAAGCATTCATTTAAATGTGTAAATTACCTTTTGTAGTAGTCTTGGAACTGTCCTGGTATAAGAGCCACAGGGTAAGGCCCCGTCCTGGTCAGCTCTGGAGCCAGCACCTTAAACCTTCCTTGAGGCACCTGGATGATCTGAGTGGACACATTAGACACAATGAATCTCATGTAAAAACAGCAGATTCTGCATCGATGGCTCTTTAACAAACCCCAGCAAAATCACATGTCATCCATATCCCTGGTGGGACTTACATGTGTCTGGAGGTCAAAGTAGGCTCTCCTCTCTTCCATACGCTCCCTGTTGAAGTTACTGTTAAACTCTGCTGCTTTTTTTGCTGCCTTCTTTATGTACTCAGGAACCTTACTGGCCTCCACCTTCTGAGGATTCTGCTGCTGCATTTGCTATAAAAAGACAACAGATGGATACTTACAGTATGTGGTTTCCTTTTTTAAATGCTTTAATAAAAAAGTGTGCTTCCACAATATTTCTGTTGTTTGTGTACTTACAGAGTACTCTTTAGCTATTCTTTGCCGCTCTCTCTCCTGTAGTATGACTGAATACTCTCCGTGTTTGGCTGGATACTCCTTTATCATCAGATCTATCACCTCGTCACTCCGCAGAGCTGTCAGACCTGGAAAAAACAAAAGTGCCGTTTTTGTGTACATTTTTCATCATTTTTTTTCCATATTCATATAAAGTCTCTGTGACTTTTGACCACTGAAACGTAATCACTTTGAGTCTGAGTGACAACGGATCAAAATTTGAAGAAATTCACTCAAGCACTCTTGAGATATCACATTCAAGAGGCCAAAAACATGTTTTTGAGGCCACACTGTGACCTCGACCTTCAAAATGTACTCAAATTAATAAATGAGTCAGAGTGAATTGTACTAGATGTAATGAGCATTTTTTTACACTTTCACCACAGTCTTGAAGTTTGATTCCTACCCAGAGTACACTGTGTTTCAGTGATCACATTCTGTTCACGCAGGTAAAGCTTCTCTTTGTGGGACAAGTCTCTCCTCTCCATATCTGCACAGGGATAAAAGAACAGTATCATTACAACAGTATGACAGTAGACAAAATATGACCACAGACTGGCATCGCTATTAATAATATAACTGGTCTTCCTGCTCACAGTGCCTGCGATTTTACACTCATATCATAATTTATACTAATCACATAAACTGATCCCTTGATAGTTTTGGATCAGCAAATAATCCAATTAAAAGTTATTATTTTAACTTTTTTATTGACAATTCTTACCAGGATACTTTCTCTTGAATGAGGTAACTCCCAGATACTCGCTGACCTGCTCCTGCAGCATGTAATACTCTCCCATGTCATCTGCCGGCCACTTGTACTCTGTCAGATTCTCTGCTGGGAAATATGTTGGGCTGGAAGGAAAGGTGGGAGAAAAAGATCTTATTTAAAACCAAGTACAAGTTTGTTTTATCAATATATGTATGTATGTATGTATTAAAAAATACACCCAAAAACTTAAAACTACAATTTTAAACAGTAGTGCATGATCGGAAATATAAAACCTTGTAAACCATTAAGTAATTAACCAGTTAGAAAAATGCTGGACAACATTTCAAGCAATAGCACTCCAATTTGATGATTCTTGCCAAGATCCGAGCAAACCTACCCGAGGTCTTGGCTGGAGGTGTCACAGCTTCTGGAGCTGTCCCCTGAACCCATCCTCCGTCTTTTGGGAGGCTGGCTTCCATCATTGGACTCCTCTTCCGTTACATCTTCCTGCAGATGAAAATAAAAATAAGATATTAACTTATAAAAGTCAATGAAGAGGGATAGAAGTCTCAGGAATCACAGGTTGAAGCTTCACTGTCATTTATATTTTAGCACTTTCTGACATCTCTGCTCCGTTTATTTAACCAGAGGGGTTCAGGACACAATGTCTAGATTCTGTACCTTCAAGGTCATCTTCCTCTGCAGAGAGATAGCAGAAAACATATTTATCAATCATTTATTCTAGATTCATGTGTTCAAATGGACCCTGAAGGATTTGGTTTTGGAGGTTCAGGTCCAGTCTATAAACTGGCCTCTTTTAGCATATTGTTGATAGGATGGTGTGGTTGGAAGTAACTTATTTATTCAGCATCTGTGATTGATTGAAAAACATGAATTACACGTTTTTTTCCAACCACAACAAACATGAGTAAATGTTGCACAGTTGTCAAAGTAGTGATGGACAGGAGGAATGGACATAGTCAGTCAAAGTACTCATAAAACCTGCTGCTATTCCTGACGTGAAAGTTTCAAACGGAACACGAGTTTCGGTTTATAAATCAATAGTAAAAGATGAACCATCCCAGTAAACAGTGTCCGTTCACTGAAAACAAAGGAGAGATGCTAACAGTGCTAACGTTTGTCAATCATGGCCGCTGTTAGCCAGTTAGCACGCATAGCTCCGGGAACACAGCTGTGTGTGGTTCGGGTGTTTATGGAGAATAAACGTCACCTTTATGGATTGTGCTCCAGGAGTTGCGGGGTTGCTGTCGCAGGGCGGCCTGACGGGGAGCACAGCAGCCATATTTAGTTATATACAGGCTGCTAATAAGCTAGCTCCACAGTCGTTTCTTCATTCACTTCTTCTTGTGAAGATGAGTGGCTGTTAGCAAACGTTTCGCGACACAGGCGCCATCTTGTGGACCGGAGTGTAGGTTGGGAATTGTCTAGTTGATACATGTTTATTCTAAATATAATAAATATGTGATCTGCTCATTTCAATGTGATCTTAAAACAACTATTGTCTCGATTATCGGACGAACTTCGTTGGTTCGCTGGTTCAACAGCGGCAGTTTAGAGACATTACAATGTTCGGGCTTTTATTTTGAAACGGCAAAGCACGTACGGGAAGTCGGAGGGGCAAAATCTGCCTGAATCCGCGGAAACCAACAACCGAGAGTATTTTATTTACTTAGCTAGCGAACCATCTGTCAACTTCTATTCCTCCATTCCTCCTCTTTACTGTCAAACCGACACCGGGGCGATGTCGGAGTCTTACGGTAAGAGCTCCGTTTCTCCCGGGCTAACCACCGTTAGCATCCCGCTGTTAGCCACAGATGAGAAGGAGGCAGGTGTGTCGAGAGGGTTTTTCTCAGCGTAAACAGAGATCAGGCTAACGGAGCTGCTGCTGGAGGCTCGTGGCCTTTAAATGTCGTGTCAGTGCGATAACATGGACTCCGGAGGTTCAGTAGAGTTTACAGCAGCGGTGCAGAGTAAATTAATCGACTTTAGAAGGTTATGAATTCCTGCGGAGGTTAACGGGATGAGCAGGAAACTGGCCCCAGAGGAAGATGGAGCTGCTGTGACTAATGTGACTGAGCTGCGTATCCTGTAAACTACAAATATCACAAAGTGTTAACTACATAAATTACATATATCATAGAATGTAAACTACATATTATAACAGAGTAGACTACTTTTTACCACAGTGTAAACTACATATATCATAGAGTATAAACTACATAAACCACACATATCATAGAGTGTAAACTATTTATTACCATAGTGTAAACTTCATGTTATCACAGAGTAAACTACTTATTACCATAGTGTAAACTTCATGTTATCACAGAGTGTAAACTACATATTGTCAAAGAATGTAGAGGGAGATATTAAATAGATAGACATGTTTTGTGTGGGGTTGGTGAACTGGTTTAATTACATTAGAGCGAGGGTTAGTTTGATCTACAGCAGGGATGCTACTACACAGTCCCACCACCATCCACACATATGTGTTAAATGTGTGTATTGTGGGTAAATTCACATTACTCCATCCCTCACACTGAGGTATGTTTATATTAGCTCATGATCACAATTATTAGCATATTCATATACGTTTTTATTTTTTGTGTATATCTATCATTGTCTCTCTGCTCCCTCCTCAGATTTCCTGTTTAAGTTCCTGGTGATTGGAAATGCTGGAACAGGCAAATCCTGTCTGCTGCACCAGTTCATTGAGAAGAGATGTAAGTTAGAAAGATTCAAGACATTACTCACTATTCACTGTTTCTCTGATTTCTAATATGAGGGTTGTCCTATAGAACTAGCTTGATAATGATATTAGGGAGTTAACATTTTCTAATTCCAGTTTGATAATAAACTTCACTGTAAATAAAAAGGAAAGATAGTAAACATATATTTTTATGTAAAATGTAAACATACAGGCTCTACACATGACATAAAACTCACCAAATTAAACAAGTATATCTATTGTAATATTCAGTACTCATTTTATTCACACCACTAAACATTCCATTGCAGTTATTTGTTAATAATGACAAGAATCCACGTTTATTTTGTTTTCCAGTTAAAGATGAATCCAACCACACAATCGGAGTTGAGTTTGGCTCAAAGATCATCAGCGTGGTCAATAAAACGGTCAAACTGCAGATTTGGGATACTGCAGGACAAGAAAGGTTCAGGTAGGAGAAATGTCAAATATATGTTCAGGTTCAATGTCCAGCTCTAATATTTGGGAAACACTTAATCCAATGGAAGGACTTCAGATGAAAGTAAGACAACACATATTATCTGTCTTGACTGTGACTGTACCTCTGTGTGTGTGTAAGGTCTGTAACCAGGAGTTACTACAGAGGAGCAGCAGGAGCCCTGTTGGTCTATGATATCACCAGGTAAAACAATGATTCACACATGATTTCAGATCACCTCAGTATCTGGTCCCTTGTTATTTTGTTTTTTTAATCTGCTCAGATTTCCTTTCTCAAATGTAACCTGTGCGTCTTCTTTCTGTCTCTGTCTCCACTGAAGTCGAGAGACGTACAATGCTCTGACCACATGGCTGAGCGATGCCAGGATGCTTGCCAGTCAGAACATTGTCATCATCCTGTGTGGGAACAAGAAAGACCTGGACTCTGACAGAGAGGTCACGTTCCTGGAGGCGTCGCGTTTTGCTCAGGAGAACGGTAGGACCAACAGTTTGAGATCAAATGGTTCCGTTTCAGTGGTTTTCCCAGGGAATAATTCATGGATCCCAAGAATCAGGCACATTTAGTGAACTGATATCTATGAGTGTGTGAAATTCAGTTTGATTGAATTTATTAAAATTGCTGTATTGCTGAAATGGCAAATGATTAAAATACTGTATCTCTGTGTGTGTCGTGCGTCAGAGCTGATGTTCCTGGAGACCAGTGCTCTAACAGGGGAGAACGTTGAAGAGGCTTTTGTCCAGTGCGCTCGGAAAATTCTCAACAAGATTGAGTCAGGTAAGATTTCTGATCCTTACCCATAACCCCAACCCCTGAATCCTTCCTTATCCTAACAGGATCAACAAGGTGGGCTTATGTATGACTGCAGACACTGAAGCAGTTTTTGGATCATTTCCTTTTTGAACAAAGCAAATCTCCAACACTGACAAGTCACAACCTGAGCAGACACTGAGCTGGAAAACCTCAAGATAAATAGAAATCTGAACACAGGAGGAGAGTGAAAGAGTGAAGACCAGATCAGTTCACAGTTCTACAGTGTGACAAAGGGATTTAGTGGAGGGAAAATGTAGCGCATCTGTATTTTGTTTTTACACACACATTGTCTGTAATAATATAGAAAATTATACATTGTCTGTATAATAGAAAAGTGTTTTTACTATTATATATATGTTCACCACAACATGAATGGCCAGCTGGTGGTCATCTGTCTCCCGCTGATTTCTTCTCTTATTTCCAGGAGAGCTGGATCCAGAGAGGATGGGCTCAGGTATCCAGTATGGCGATGCTGCGTTACGACAGCTCCGCTCCCCTCGTCGTGCTCAGCCGCAGGGCACCCAGGAGTGTGGCTGCTAGTGGGCCTGCCCTGTAACATACACACACAAGGTAAAGTGGCCAGACTTTCTGTGTATAATAAGATGATGCGAGTTTATGACACTTGATATTCTGCTCATTGCTCTCACTGCTGTGAATCTGCTTCACTCAGCCACTCTTTGTCGTCTACACTCCTGGTCTTCTTGTGTGATTTTTTGACAGTAAAAAATATAGAATATCACCAGATTTATCCTCATAGAAAACTGATGACTTCACGTACATTATGTTGTTTCATTTTTGCTTATTCTCTCCCCCATTATTACTGCTTAAAACTATGATTTACACATTTTGTATGCATGAAGGAAGGAGAAATAGCTGAAGCACTTCTATTCTTGATTTAGAAGTCTTCCTGCACATCCCTTCACAAGAGCTATTTTTAGAGCACACACAGTAGGACAGATACCCACCCACAGTTCTTCATTGATGTACAGATCAGGGGGCTGCGGTGGCGGTTCCAGCAGCTCCAGCTTGTGGATTTTGAAGTCTGCTTTGGATCATTGTTCTGTGGTAGACGCCAGCCTGTTGTCGGTTTGACTCTCCTGACTGACTGTAGCACCGTAGCATCATGAAATAGCTGGTATTAACTGGAACCCATTCTTTTCTCTGTTCGTGTGATGAATGTGTGTGTGTTTATAGTGTAGTTTAGTGTGGTTCAGACAGGTTCATGAAGAGCAGGCGAAGAACAGCAACGAGGAACCATAAAGTTCCGGGTTCATGTTGCGGTGCTGGTGACTCCTCTCTGACCTTTGACCTTCGTACGGACCTTTGAGATTATTCAGAACCTTCGTTATCATGGCCCGAACCTGCAAGAGATCCACGCCCCTTTAAGACCTCTGAGCATCTCCAAGGTAACCAGAGTCCATCACCTCCCACAACCTGCTCCACTTTTGGGCCAAACCCCTCATCCAGCTCTCTAATCAGTATGTGAACTACTCACATATTTCTCCCTCCCCTAACTGTCTACTGATCCACCCTCACCTCCTTTCCTCCCAATGGACCACACTGTTGTCATCTCATAGTAAAGGAAATGTCTTTTATTTGTGTTTAGGGGCACGTATTTAAAATATTAACTTTAAAGCCGTTGGCACCTCCTGGCTTTAGCTTCATACTCACCACAAACACATGAACTGTCGACAATCCTCAGAAAACACATAAAAAAAACAGTTGAACTATTCAAACTACTGCTCTGATAGCTTGTCTACGTCCTGCAGCTTGTCTACGTCCTGCCCACCTTTATTCATACATTTTGCACTTCCTGTATGCTCATTTCACTTCCCTTCTTCTGTACTTTCTCTCCCACTATAGTTCCCACTGGCAACAGAGGACACAATACATGTCATCAGTTTACTTATCCTCATGCCCTCCATGCCTACCTTTCTTGCTATTTTGGTTACTTCCCATGATGCTCTCTGTTACCTCTCTCTGCCCCTCTCTCCTCCTGTCTCCCTGCAGCATCTTACACACTGTGCAGTTTTTCTGTAAATAGAGATTGACGCATGTTTTCTCAAACAGAATATCAGAGTATTTCATTATGAAGAGATATTATATGTATATGAAGTTAGATATCATACCCAGTATTGGGTTTATGCACCACTGTATTATTATCATGATACTCCACATTACACTGGGTATACACTTGGACAGGACTGTTTGCAGCATTTATGTTTATTTGTAAATGAGACATGTTGACCTGGATTACATTATGGACAAACATGTTTATGTGTAAAAAAAAAAAAAAATCAGTTTTAACTTCAAACTCATAGATTATTCAGAAAACAGACAAATGCAACCTGAAATGTTCTGAGCAATTGGTTTTCTATTTCATTTCATATAAATAATTTATACTGCAAAAAAAAAAAGTCCACTATTAATTCTTAATAGCATATTTAATATTGAACTGTTAAATGACAGTGTAACACCAAAGGATTCCGGTTATGACTAGAAATGTTCTGATACCATTTTTCATTCCCGATACTGATTCCACCACCTGGACTTTGTGAATCATCCAATACTGAGAACAGATCTGATACCAGCGCATTTAAAAACCAAATGAAATGAATGTAAAAATGTAGGCGAATAGCGCTGCAAATAGCAACAAACACTCCAAGTTAGAGATCTCTGATGTTTTTATGAGATGGGTCAAACTTTTTGTGGGTCATTATAAATCTGTGGTGGGACAAATTAGAATATGGTGGGCCACTAAAGTCTATATAAGTAATAGGAAACACTGATTACAACACAATTATTTTCTTAAATAGCTGTTAAAGTGCAGCCACACTTTATAATAATAAATGAGTTTTTTTTAAGTAGAACACTTCCTGAAACTGAAGTCTTGCATATGGTACATATCAACATTTTACTTGTGGGACTTTCCAGTGTGTATTACTGCCAAATTGCTGACATTTTAGCTTTCTCTGGCTGCACTAATGGAAAACCTAGTTGCAGCAAAGCGTAAGTGTTGTTTTGGGGCAGTAAAGAAATCATTATTTCTGAGAGAAGAAAATTACAGTTTTATCTGGGTGATATTAATCTCTTTAAAGACCTGGTATCAGACTGTTCAGAGATTTTTACTCTCACTGATTCCCGACTCATCATTTTTGGCAGTATCGGAGACATTTCAGATCCTGGTGTCGGTTTTAACATTTCTTCTTTTGACTAATGACTGATCTGCTACAATGACACAGAAAATGCCTGTTTACATGGATGCATGATAGGTTGCTGCTAGCTGTCAGGAAATACTAACTGAATGATTTTAGCAGGGGTGTGGATTTATGTGTGCTTGACTATTATTTGTCTCCAAAGATACTTTATGTCTCATATTTCAAACTTAAAAACAGTTTTAACACAAAGCTCTCAACAAAAAAACAGAGGCGTCTTTTGCATAACTGTATCCAAGCGTTACATATATTTGTTGTTTTTGTCTTTTATATGTAGAATGTATTTTACTTTTAAATGTAGTTGACTTCAAACAGTACAAGTATATTTCAGAATATCCTGGAGTGTTTGATTGTGGTTTTGGCTGCTCCACTGCAGGTTGCCGTCTTGTGTCTATGTCATCAAGTCCTTTGTTTAAATTCATGTACGTCCGTTTTTCTCTTGTCATTATGAATATCATGGATTTTTAATTTATTGTGTATGATAAAAGCATATGTTTTTAAAATAAAAAAAGACTATAAATAAAGCATCTTTCAAAGCATCTTTGAAACGCAGGTTCTTCTTGAATTCTTGGATCCAAAACAGGAAAGACTTGGCTGCTGTAAAGGCTTTCAAAGACTCTTTCAATTCTAATGGACTGAATACAGAACACAGTGGCAGATAAAGTTAGGAAATTAACACAAAAAAAATCATGTATAGCTAATGTATGAGTTTGTACAGTGAGCCACGGTTGTGAAGATGCTCTCTTACATTATTGATGCTTAACGTTCTTTAAAGAGATTGAATCTAAGGAGTTAAGAATTTAGCAGACTGACAGAAAAATGGATTTATTAAAAGCTTTGCACCACAACATCATTTGACCTCAACAGTTGTCATCGAAATACATTTCATTATGTCCAAAAAATCCTAATACATGAACAGAAAGGGTATTACTCGGGTAAACGATATTGTAGTTGATTATAGATTGTATTAGAAATAAGATAAAACCAGACTTCACTGGACTTCTGGTGTCTTATATCATCTCTTCAATCAATTTTTCTTCATGACCTCTACCCATAACCAAGTAAACCCTGAAAAATAAGAGAAGTGTAGCATCTTCTCAATTGGAATAAAATCCCTCTGCAGTATAAACAGGATCTCATCTATAAAGTTTGGTCTAATTAACAAACTAATGAAGTAAACTAGGTATTAACTATCTTATTTCACTGAGATTGTCAATGTGCACGTCTAAAAACCACACTGGCTCGTATGCAGTTATTTATAATGGAAAATATTGCACAAAAATTCACGTCTTATCTATACTAAAGCATCACTTAAAATATTTATGAATACAAAGCAAAACAAGTCGTGTAATACTGAACTCAGAGCTGCAACAACAAAAAAGGAACATTTTACATTTCTTAACGTGAAGCACATGCCTCGAGTTCCCTCTTCTTCTTTTCTCTGTGCAACATTCAGATCAGAACATCAATAACTAGAGCTGTAAAATGTTCAAAAATAACTCCGTCTTTTTGGCACAGAGCAGATTTGATCATCATCACGGTTTGTGGGATCTGATTTCTCATGGTCTCAACATTCATGAAAAGATCCGATCTGTTACACAAACTGTTAAAATGCTGTTCAGTCTTCTCGTGTACATACAAATAACATTTACTTTCACATAAACATACAAATATGCAGAGATTTAAAAGACATTACATGAAAACCTAAAGCTTGTCAGAAAATCTACGAATGTTATTCAAGAAAGGCGACTAATTGTCAAAGTGCTGTTTGGTTTGGTCCTGCTTTAGTTAGCATTAGTAACATGCACTCATGTTATTTCTATTATATTTATGATAGCAATTCTAATGCGAGGTCATTTAGACTTTGGCTTTACATCCAACTTTGTGTTGACTCAACTTTGGCTCTGAATCTTATTCACTAATAATTATAATTAGATCATTTATCTTTAAATAGTTTTGTTAATTATTGTGTGCTAAAAAAATAGCTGTAAATGAGCTGTATTTTGAATGTTAAATTCTCTGACACCTGTATAAAGAAAGAAAGACCAGTATCCACAACACCACACACACACTGTTCACAGTCGTCCCAGTGGCTTTAAAAGTCACAGATATTCAGACTGTGTTAGCACCAAGTTGTTTGATTACACACAAGAATACAAGAGAAAGACACACATGTTGTCAACGTACTATTTGAAAAGTAATTATCGCACAACGCAGCGTCTAAGAGATGTACAATCTATCAAGTGAGAAAAGAGCAGTCAACTGTTACACAAACAGATGAATCTATAAGTCCACAGCATTAAGTGAGCTGAAGACTATTAAACCTTTAACGCAGACATATCTCTGTATGTCACCCAACATAATGCTCAGCACACATATTAAATATGTGTTGCACAATATTTTGGAATGCCAACTATTGTTCTAGTGTGTTTGACTTTGTTTACATGTGTACACAATATGTCCAGTATCATCCAACCCCGATGGTCCCATTTTTTATCTCTTAATCATTTTTAAGAAAGCAAATCACTGAATCTACTCACACATTGTGCCTTCTCTACCTCTGTGAGACCACTACAGACTGATAACCATGTATAAAAATGTGGACACATTTGTTTAAAGGGGCTGCATTAAAGTATGGCTGTAAAATGCTATTTGCATGTATGTTCTTTCCCATCTAAATATCTGTTGACATATTCTTATCTATACATCATCTTTAAAAATTGTTTCTTTCAAGAGCCTGATCTACCCTGTAAGATATTTCTTGATGTAGATATTAAATTGATTTACAGATGGATCGATAGACACTCATGGTCTAAAAAGCCACACTGTGAAATTCAATGTTCAAGTTCCTCCTGTTTAAATGCTGAATGTCAGAGTGAGTCTTAATACTCTATTCTAAAATAATGTGTACTCAGACCTCAGAGATGATAGGCAATAATGGTTTCACCTTCTTTTTTGTCTAGAATCCTACATATGTCTGCAGTGTGTGTGTGTGTGTGTGTGTGTGTGTGTGTCTGTCCTATTGTGAGCGAGCAGAGAAGCAGCGCATGTACTCAGTGAGCCAGGGGTTGAACTCAGGTTGAACCACCCTCCTGGTCTTGTCCAGCTCGACAGACTTGGCTCTCCGGCGCTCAGCTCTGTGGGTCTGGATCTGACGCTCCACCTCCCGCCTGGTCTTAGCACGTAGAGCTGACTCGTGTATCTACCAGCAAAATAAGATACACATTTCAGTTTCTGTGGTGCTCTGTCACACACAGTTATTGAGTACAACATGACAGGAAGATTACCTCATTTGTCGAAGCCGTGGGGCCGACGTTGTGCGTCTTTCTGGCCCCGATGTCTGCATGCTTCTCTCCAGAACCGTACAGAGCGAAAGAGTGTCTGCTGCCCTTACTCTCCTCCTTGGGCTGCCGTGATGGTGCAGGTCTGATGCGATGGGAGAGCCAAGTTTGTTTGGAGGATTTGGGGAGTTTACTCTGCTGCAATCGGTGCTGTCCAGTCTCTATAAAAAAAAACTGACAGGTTCAGATTTGCCAAAACACCAGAAACAAAGCAGAAATGTAGGAAACTGGTAAGTATGTAACAACTCCTACTGAAATATACAAATATAAATGGAATGATATGAGCAAGATTATCTGGGTCATTCAGTGTCAAATCATCACACGTTTGTGTCTCACAATCAGAGATGTTAATGACACTGTGTGTCTCGGATCCTAATTAAATTGAGCTGAAGTTTAAACTTTTTGGGAGGACTTTGAGTTTGATTGTTCATATCTGCCTTAATATCAGTCACAGAGAAATGGTTCTCTCTCTTTTCCAGCTCTATATTTATTTAAACACTATGCAATCCTCAACTTAAAAAATAACAGCATTAGGAGTAATTGTAACAATTAAACTTGAATTGGAAGAAAAAACTTTTGGCCAGTTAAAGTCACCCCAAACTTGGTTAGCCATTATCTCCCTTGATTAGGATTGGAAACACATACAATTTCGGTTCCATTGGTTTCTCATGTGCCTGAATCAGTGTGTCTAGTTTTATCAAGATTACACATGATTCCTTTATTTTTTGACTATGTACTGGAAGTTTGACAGAAGCTTTACATTAGCTTACATATACATAAAGTAAGATACTGTTTAAGATGTAATGTTCTTTTGACAACTGAATGAAGATAATTATCCTTTTGCATTCCTTCTCCAAAAGAGGGAGCCAAGGCCACATGACATTTCTCAGCCACACACTGGTGGTAGTTAGGGGTCTCCAGCCCTATTAGTTACCATACAGCAGCTGAAAAAAGCCAACACCCTAAATGAAACCACATTTAAATCCACTAGATCCAGATTTTTATTTGGATCCAAGCAGAATTGCACAAACCGAAATACCCTCTAATCTGTCTGAATTTATTTTCAGATTCACACATAAGTCTCTGAGAAAGCAATGTTGAAAAATGCAATATTAAAAACCATGTAAAGCAATGAAAAATATATTTTCTGATTTTGTCACACACCACAGAGCAATGTGTTATCAACCACCTCTGAATTACCTTGGTCTCGCACTCTGTGGGAAACTGGTAGCTGTTTACTGCCTCTGCTGCTGGCTCTCTGCTCCTCCCTCTCCTCCTCTGCTACTTTCATCTGCTTGACATCATCAAGCTGTGAGCCTGAGGAGAGGGTGACATGTTGTAGAGTAACATACAAACATACCAATATGTTGAACAGCCTATACAGAAGTGTTTAAAACTCACAGCTACCTCCATTTCCCTCCTCCACCTGAATGTTAAGTCTGGGTACAGGCCCTGCAGTACTGGCTTGCAGCTCCGGCTGTTTATCCGTCCTCGCCCCCTGACACTCCTCCAGCTCAGCCTCCGTCCCACCCCTGACGGTTTCGTCCTGTACCTGGTTTTTATTGGGAGGAGGGGGAGGACTTCTTCCCGCTGAGTCTGAATCACTTTCTGAGCCGCTCCAGAACCAGGGGTTGTGTGTGTGCTCCAACAGCCGGCGTGTCAGCCTGTACTTCAGCATCTCCTCATAACACTTGGTGTAGGTCTCCCATTTGGGGTCTTTGAATTTCTTCATGTACTCTGATCGTATCCTCTTAGTCACCATCTTCTAAACTCTTTGATCTGTAAACCAACAAAGCGTTAAAAAAACTGCATGATAACCAACGTGGTGGTTGAATAAGTCCGAAGGAGAATAAACAGCAGGATTGAGATTTATATCTTTACAATTATCCAATCTTCAGCAGTGCCACAACCCACTTCCTGGTTACAGTATATCATAACAGATCACATGTGTGTGAACCAACCAGTCAGAAGCAAGACTGAATTCTATATCTGCAGATTTGCTGATATTGAGAATTGTTATTCATTTTGGGGCCATGCTGATGAAACTTATTTTCAATGTCAAATAAAAACACAATTCTGGTCTAGCTCTCTCTTTTACTCTAATCTATGTAATTTAATGATCTAATTTATATGTATAATATGTCCTGCTCTCTTGTGTTGTGTATCTGGAACAATCTTCTCTCTGTTATTGGGTTGTGTACTGGTTTGTACCTGAAGTACTATGTACAGTTTGTATGTATTTCTTTTTTTTAAA